CTTCAGAAACTCTTTAAAAACTCCGCGATTCCCCTGGGCATTGGGGCTGGCATAAGTAGAGTTCCCATTGGGAAGGGGGTATGAATGTGAGCCAGGTAGCTTGTTATTACTTGCTGCTTTTTATCTTGGTTTTGTTGTGGTGGTGATGGTTATAAGCCACCCAAAGTCATATTGTTTCAGTTGGGCAGCCATATACATTCATTCATTCAATCATTCAATCAATCAATAACTGCTTTTGTCCTCTGTTAACTGTTTATACCATGATATTTTTAAATAAAGCTTAATTGTTTATAATCAACTGATCTTCAGAGGAAATGAGTAACACGCACACACGTACATCAGATAGTACTCTGTGAGGAAAAATAAGAGAGAAGATAATCTCAATATAACCACTGTAAGTTTATCTTATTGGGGAGGCAGCAGCAAGATTTTAAATATTTGCTTATCCCACTCAGAAACTTAAAAAGAAATTGCACCGTGGGTCTCTTTTCCAGGATGTGTACTGGGTTCTCATTTTGGTTCTGTGCTATGGCTGTGTAAACTCAGAGTTGGCTGTGCAGATCATAGTTTATATTTATCACATTGTAAACAAAACTAAATATGGTTTATTCAATAAACAAGAGATAAACCATGGCTTAATATAATATGAGGAGCATCCATTGCGCGTTGGGGATTTCAGCTAATTTTATGCGGAGAGACTGTTCTGTCTGTCTAGGACTCCATGCAGGTTTGAAGGAGATCCAGCCATCACACTGCAGTTGAATGTCTCACTTTTGAAAATTGCAGTTGGGGGGCACGGTCTCTCTTGTCCCCCCTACCTGAGATTCAATCCTGGCATTTCCATTTAGGTTCTCTGAGTAAGAGCACCAAGGACTAGACAAATCTGGGCTATATCCAAAGAGGCCTGATTCAGTAGGAAATAGCTTCATCATGTATTGTGAGAGTATTGTATTTGTATTAATTCAGGTGAACAGAGTTTTGAAACGAGATTGCCCAAAGAACTATATGCCTTTTCTCCTTCTACAGTATGGCATTGTTAGTCATTTTTAAATAATAAGCAGCTTTCTGCCATCTTTGCTATTAAAAAAAAAAAAAAGTCATTCCAAATTCTCTGCGTTAACAAGTAATTTATTTGACCCCTATTTAATTCATTTATTTACTGGAATTCTTAGCCATTCGTTTGTCTTCTGAATATTCCTCTCACCCTCCACAGGGACGCTAACTAGGAATTGGAAGGCAGAGGAAGTGTCATTCTGGTGCCCCCCAAATAGGCCCGAAAATAAACATTGCCAAGTGGGGAGAGGGTGGGGTCTTAGGAGTTATTAATTCTTTTCCTTAAAATTATTCCTGCTTCTGCCCCTTCTCTTTTTGTGGGGGTACCTTTTTCAGTGATGCAAAGCGAGAGAGGAGAGTCCCTTCACCTGATGTAATAGTACTGTCGGACAACGAGCCATCAAGCCCAAGAATGAATGGATTAACCAAAATAGCATTAAAAGAGACCAGTGCAGAAGTGCTAATGGTAAGTCTGACACAACAGCCGTAAAACTGAGAGCAAACTGCCTGCTTTTTTTCCCCCTTGATGTGTTCAGATCTTTTGGCCTGGTAAGTCTTGAGTTCATCTTTGGGGGTTCCTCCCGTCTGGGTCACATCATGTCTTCAGCACAGCAATACATAAATCGACTCTCTTCTCTGTCCATTGGCAAAAACTGGTCATGTCCACCGCTTTTTCTATGCTGTGATTCCTTTGCTGGCTTCCAACCTCACTGGCTTTGGCCTTCCCCATCCAACCTCCTATTTCATTCTGTATCTCCAATTGAAGCGCATGAACTTTCTCCTCCAGTTCAGGTCCCCCAGCTGCCCAAAATTCTCTCTCACACACACACACCCCAGTCTACTTTTTCTGTTCTTTATGCCTGGGCCACTTACATGAACCATCCCTCTGTCCCTTCTTGACCCTCGTGCTTGGAATTCCTCTTGAAGCACTAACATCAGCCTTTCCCCAGCCTTGTAACGTCTAGGGATGATGAGGATCCCATCACTCCTGGCTAGGAACTTTGGCAGTTGTCCTTCAATGTATCTGTAGGACACCGGATTCAGGAAGGGTGACCTATGTCATACTGGCTCTCTCTCTCCTTGAAATCCCTCTTTTAAAGTCAGCCTCCTGTTATCCTCCCAAATTTGACTCTCCCCCTCCCTAAATGAAATTAAAACTTTTTCTTCCGGTCATGGGTGTCCTTGTAGAAAAGCAGCCCAGAAGAACGGGAGCGAATGATTAAACAGTTGAAAGAAGAACTGCGGTTAGAAGAAGCCAAACTTGTCTTACTGAAAAAATTACGACAAAGTCAGATACAAAAGGAGACAACAGCTCAAAAGGTGTGCAGAGTCTGCCTTTTTTCTATATATATGTATATAGTTATATGTGGCCTTCCTAATCTGCCCGACCCAGTCATTGATTAGCTCTGGTACCAATTCCTGCAGAATGTGCCTTCAGACTACCCCCACTAAGCACAGCTTTTTAAGATTTATTTAAAAAGTCCTGGTCACTGAACTTTGAGCTATAAATGATCCTGTAAAGCTGGACACTTCTCCTGAGAAAGGGGAAGTGAAGATATGGAGAAAAGACAATATTGTGGGAAAAGACAGGCTAATTATTGTAATAGAGGCCACCAGCATTTTTTAAGTTGTCCCTGATGATGGACCTGGGAGTCTGCAAGAGGCCATTCAGTAACACGGTGATATCACAAGAGTAGCCCAGATGTACTTTCTTTTTTTCATGCTCCTTGCTTTTTCAAGGATGTAAATGAAACAGGAAAGCAAACTGCCACCATTCCTGCACTTCTCCCCTCTGTCCTTACTGAAAACTGGGCTAAAATTGTACAACTAAAAATTCAGGCGTTTTGGCACCAAATTTTGGTGGTAAAAGCTCAGGGTGCTGGGCCCACAAATGGAGAGCTGGAGGAGTGCCCTCAAGCTGAGAGTAGCCCACTTCTGCTCTAATACATCTCTCTTCCCCATGTGTTTCCCCGTCTCTTTCGTAGCCTGCTGGTTCTTCAGGAAATGCTGTAGCAACACCTCCCCCCTTAGTGCGGGGAACACAGAACATTGCATCCAGCAAGTCAGCCCTTCTACAGGTGAGTACATAGGAAAGATATTTGTTATTTTATTTTAGGACTCCATCTTATAGAGTGCTTCAGTAATGTGTGTGCTGCTGTGGTTTGTCCTTTATTCAGTTCTGAGTGGATGAAGGAACTGAAAATAAAGCCGTGGGTGTATTATCTTAATATTACCTTCAAGTCATTGTTGACTCCTGGTGACTGCCTGGATAAGTCCCTGCAATTTTCTCAGCAAGATTTCAGAAGTGGTTTGCCATTGCCTGTTGCCTAGGGCTGAAAGAGAGGGACTGGCCCAAGGACACCCAGCCGGGTGCCTAAGGCGGAACTAGAACTCCCGGTCTCCTGGTTTCTAGCCTGGGGCCTTAACCACTACACCAAACTGGCTCTTGTAGATGTATTAAGGAAATGGTTATTGAGCACAAGAGAAATGTAGTTTCTTGCCCTTGACTTTTCTGGAAAAGCTCTTTCTGGGCTGCTGCTAAATTCCAAGCTTGGTTCAGACTTTCACAGATAGCTTTACTTGCACAAATGGAGCGAGGTTGTTTCTGAGCAAGTGATCTAGTTGTATAAAGAAGCTTACAGGGAAGTCACAGGTCCTTATCAGCAAATAGGAGAAAGCATACTTATGTAGAAAACTAAATTTGTGTTTCCCAGGAGATTTGTTCCCTGATTCACACATTTCACTATCCCGTTGAAAGAAATATGCATTTTTGAGTGTTGAGGAATATACCTGAAACTACCCAGTCCTCAAAGGAGTCCAACTCCTCCCTCCACATTTACGTGAGCCACTTTCTGTGAATGGTGATTGATTGAAATAGGCAGGTTCATCACTGTAACTCATCTAGAGATGCAGCAGGCACCTTCCCACATGGAGGAAAAATATTGACGCAGAGAAAGACAAAGCCAATTTTGCTTTTTTGTCAGTTTTTGTCAATTTTGACATGGAGGTATGTAGAGAGGTAAAAGGCAACCTTCTCTTTGCTAAGAATGATAAATGCAACCAGTTTTGAAAAAACAACAAAACAATTTCCTTGCCCATCAGAATCAGACCCTTATAACTTAAAATGCTTCTAGTGACTCATGCAGAGATGCAGCACACAGTCTCTATGGGGTTGGATAACATTTCTCCTTACAAACCCTTTAAATTAGCTGTCCATTTGGAAATGTTTCATTCATACGCAGAGACTCCTTAATAAATACCAGTATCTCAGAAGAAACTTTTTAATTCCTCATTTTGGGGAAGTAAAGGGAGCTGAGACCAGGGGGGTGCTGCTTTTTGGTAGTAGCAATTTTTTACTTCTATTGTTTGTCTAGATCCATGGGGGGCAGCTTTTATTTTTATGCTTACTGTGGAGGTTTTAAGATTTTTTTTTTTTTCATAAAACCACCAAGAGTTGTATTGACCCAACTAAGTATGTTGGGTTTTGTCTCATCCCTCTTTCCTTGGCTAGACTTAAAGAACATTACAAAGGACTTTGATGGAACTAAATTTTGACTTTAAAAACAAAACGATTTTTTCTCTCTGCTTCCCTCCCCTCCGGCCCCAAAACAGAACACTTCTTCACGTATTCCTGGGACTGTCATTCCTCCTCCTTTGATCCGTGGTGGGCAGCAGACGTCTTCAAAGCTGAGCTCTCAGCAGAACACGCAAATAGTCATGCCACCTTTAGTCCGAGGAGCACAGGTAAGTTCTTATATTTTTTCCTTTTTTTTCTCCCCCACTCCCCATCCTTGCTCTCCCAAGATCCCCAGCTTGACCCTGCTTATCTCTACCGAGCTGGGAAAGATCCTTTTCTGACTGAAATCCCAGAGTTGCTGCTGGCTGGGATATATTGGGCAAGGGAGGTTGAGTTGTGTCAAACAGCTGGTTGTGTTTGCTGTTGAAATCCTGAAGGCAGAGATGGATGCCTCTTGATGGTTTCTTCATACAGGTAGTCCTCATTTAGTGACTGCCTTGTTTAGCAACCTTTCGCAGTTACGACAGTGATGAAAAAGTAACTTTACGACCAATCCTCACATTTATGGTCTTTGCAGGTCTGTAAAGCAAAGGAACGCTGAAGAAAGATCATAAGCACAGGCATGGTTTCATTTAGCAACCACTTCACTTAACGACAGAGTTGCCAGTCCCAATTGTCGCTAAACAGGGACTACCTGTGTAACACAAGTACACTACTGGCCATGCCTACTTTCTCAGAAACAGTCATTTAAGCAAAGGCTGATAATTCAGTTAAGAATGTTAATATGCTTTATGTATATTGATTCATTTACAGTGGGGCAAAAAAGTATTTAGTCAGCCACCAATTGTGCAAGTTCTCCCATTTAAAAAGATGAGAGAGGCCTGTAATTTTCATCATAGGTATACCTCAACTATACAAAATACCAGCAACAGTGTGTGAAAACCTTGTGAAGACTTACAGATAGTTGAGGTATACCTATGATGAAAATTACAGGCCTCTCTCATCTTTTTAAATGGGAGAACTTCAAAATACCAGCAACAGTGTGTGAAAACCTTGTGAAGACTTACAGATAGTTGAGGTATACCTATGATGAAAATTACAGGCCTCTCTCATCTTTTTAAATGGGAGAACTTCAAAATACCAGCAACAGTGTGTGAAAACCTTGTGAAGACTTACAGATAGTTGAGGTATACCTATGATGAAAATTACAGGCCTCTCTCATCTTTTTAAATGGGAGAACTTCAAAATACCAGCAACAGTGTGTGAAAACCTTGTGAAGACTTACAGATAGTTGAGGTATACCTATGATGAAAATTACAGGCCTCTCTCATCTTTTTAAATGGGAGAACTTCAAAATACCAGCAACAGTGTGTGAAAACCTTGTGAAGACTTACAGATAGTTGAGGTATACCTATGATGAAAATTACAGGCCTCTCTCATCTTTTTAAATGGGAGAACTTCAAAATACCAGCAACAGTGTGTGAAAACCTTGTGAAGACTTACAGATAGTTGAGGTATACCTATGATGAAAATTACAGGCCTCTCTCATCTTTTTAAGTGGGAGAACTTGCACAATTGGTGGCTGACTAAATACTTTTTTGCCCCACTGTATATACCCTGCCTTTCTTCTGGGAGCTTAAGACCCCATCCATGGTGGTCTTGCTTCATTTTACTCCCCACAACAATAAGCCCGTGAGGTAGGTTGGGCTGAAAAAGAATCACTGGCCTCAAGTGATTCTGTGGTCAAGGGAACATTTGAACTTGGCTCTGTTTGTTTATTATGTAATAATTTGAGTTATGCTCTACCCTTTCTGTTCTAGCAAATACTCAAGGCAGCTGGCATACATGCCTACATGCATATGTGATGCTCTTCCTTTTGGGATGAGCAACATTCTGCAGAGCACAGAAGAATAAGGCAGAAGAAATTAAATTACTTATGAACTAGCAAGACAAAGGAATTAAAGTTGTAAGAGAAGAAAAAGAAAAACTAGTTTTTAACTAGAGCCAGTTGGGTCTATTGGTTAAGGCACCAGGCTAGAAAGCAGGAGACTGAGTTCTTGTCCTGCCTTAGGTATGAAAGCCAGCTGGGTGACTTTGGGCCTGTCCCTCTCTCTCGGCCCAACTCACCTCACAGGGTTGTTGTTGTGGGGAAAATAGGAGGAGGAAGGAGTATTAGAAACGTTCGCCGCCTTGAGTTATTTATAAAAATAATAAAGGTGGGATTAAAAGAAATCTTTAAAAAAAACACCTTTTGCACCATTCACTGTACTTCTCCATGCCTTTCTGTTCTGGCAAACCATCCCTGCTTCTCCTGTGTCATTCAGTCACCATCCATCACTTCTTACATTGCCTTCTGTTCTTTAAACTTCTCCCCTCTCTCTTTTTCAAGGTCTCATCAGCTTCATCAAACTGTAACTTCTCAGTCTTTCCCTCCCTCTCGACACATTTATTCTTTTTCCATATATTTGTTCTACACTTAGAGCCTCATAGATTCTCTCTATATGACCAAGCCCACTTTATGCTAGTCACTAGTTTTTGTATTCACTCTACATTCATTCAACATCCTTTCATTCTTGACCCTTTCTCTTCCACATAACACTTCTTAAGTACCCTATTTCCACTGCATTCCATTTAGATAATTTAATAAATCATAAGTTTCTCCTGACATACTCAATTTTCATTCTGCATAACAAAGAAGTCAGAATTTGGTTTTATGTGCAGCCATTTTTGCATCTTTTAACAAACATTCCACAGAGAATACCACATACAATTCACAAGCTTTCTACCAGTGCATCTTGAAATTCCCCCATCCATTTTCCCATTTTTATGACACAGTCTACAAAGTAGAAAAATTCATCTCCTTCTCTAGTTTTTTTGTCATTTATGTATACTTTGCCATCCCTGTCAAACACAACTACCTTGGACTTGGGTACACTAATTTTCAGATCCATGCTCTGTCTAACATTTACTGCAAATAAATTGGGGTTTCAGTCAATGGGACCAGTTTGATCCCATTAAATATTTAATGTGTCGATGCAGGAGAAAGCCCTCTGCCTAAGCCTCTGGAGCCTTTGCCAGTCAGAGTACCAAGTTATAATAATATGACTTGCAGGGCAGCTTTCTGTCTTCCAAAATAGATGCAAATCGAAGCGTGCTTATGAAGCTTATTCTTGGCAGGGTTATATTAAATTATTTGATTATCTGACAGAAAAAAAAAGAAAAGAAAAGCACTTCCTACTGGAACGACTGATGCATCCTCAGTATCTTCTGACTCCTGTTATGAGGATAAAGCTACACTGTTGGCTTTGGGAGTATTCCTCTTTCTTGATTTAAAAAAAAAAAACTAATAGTGTTGTCCTCTCCTTCTTACCCCTTCTGCATTGCTCCCATGGCATTTGTTGTTACCATCCTGCCCTTTCTCTTCCCCCCTGCTCGGCCTTCATTCTCCGCTCCCTTTTTCCTACCCATCTTGTTCTCCCATGAATCCATCTGTATCAGCCCATTTCTGTGTCTCCCCAGCAAATCCACAACATCCGCCCGCACTCCAGCTCGGGACCCCCTCCGCTGCTCCTAGCTCCACGGGCTTCCGTTCCCAGCGTGCAGATCCAGGGCCAGCGGATAATACAGCAGGGTCTCATCCGTGTTGCCAATGTCCCGAATGCGAGCCTCTTGGTCAACATCCCACAGGTAAGCAGACAGCTCGTGGCCTCACTTCCTCTGATGTCATTCGGGAAGGATTAATGGTCCAGTAGGAAGCATGCCTGGCTTCCTAGTCTCTTTGAGGTTGCCTGTGGGGCCTTTTTTATCTCCTTCCTATTTTCTTTGGCTGGGGTGGGTTGGTAGAGGTGATTCTGCTGTGAATATGAGGAGCGTCTCTTCCCTCCCTGGTCCTGGAAAACACTTGCGGGGTTGGGGGGATTGGGGCTGCAGCAATGAAATGCACGAGTGCCTTCTGAGAGATCGATGTTCCTTCTCTGGGAAACACAGCGTGATTTCCATAAATCTACCAAGCTGCCCCAAATTAACTAAAATCCACTGAAACTGTATGTGTGTTCTGAATTTTAGTTCAGCAGATGAAATATTTTTATGTGTGAATCACCTTAGGAGTTTTTATAGCATGTGTTGAAAGTTATTACAAAAATGCTATATTTTTCTAATCGACTAGGGCAGGTGTAAATCAGTAAATATCCTAAAATTGCAGTGACTGGGTTCTTTTTGAAGCACGTCACTTTCCTATCGCAGAGACAGGTCATTCTTGATGTTAAGGCACTGTAAAAGTGAGCTTTTTGTCAGATACAAGAATCCGTGTGAGCTTTCCTTGGTTTTTTTTTTTAATTTGTGGGGAAAGTGCCCTTATGCTTGGGAAATACTATGTTATTCATAGGCACAGAGCTAGTTAATTTTCCTGGTCATTCCATTTAAAGAATCTCGTGAAGCAGGTGCTTTCCTTGATCAGAATAGACCAGTGTTTCTCAATCTTGTTAAGATGTGTGGGCTTCAACTCCCAGAATTCCCCAGTCAGCATGGCTGGCTGGG